AATATTCTTCATCAGTAAGATGTCAAATGATTCTTATTTTGACATGTGTTCGTCAAACTGAAATAATAATCTTGATCGTTATACAAATTATCTTTTTTTCAATATTTATGTTTGGGATGAGAAATACATTTCTTTAAACTGTAAGAGTCATGTACTGAAGCCTGAATTACTGGAAACAAGTGATGGTAGGACTCATTCTATGTTTTTTCATTTATGCCCTCTGGGGAAACTGTTCTCAACTTTCTTATCCAAAAACGTTCCCGAGCAAGTCTGTTGGCCCTTGAACAACCCTTGTTGTGGTCTATGATAGTGATAGTAAGGTTTTTAGATCGATCAGCTTGGGCGTGCCCAGGTGATCTTAAATGACGACTTACGGAAAGGTCGGGTTTGCAGGTGTAGTCACTTCAATGACCATTCATACGTTTGTTGAATGGCTGTTCTGTGTCGCCAACATACTGCATGCCACATCGACACTGAAGAAGGTATACAACATTCTGAGTTTTGCAAGTTACATTGCAAAATATAGTGTATACGGACCCAGTGGAGTGGCAAGTAACCATCCACTAGTGATACAGTTTTGTAAGTTCCGTTATATTGACAACATGGTTGTGCAACCCAAACAGACATATATAATATTGTAATGTGACAATAACTGGGATTAAGCGGCCAAAACTGTGTAAACATACAGGCATACATCACCACTGACTGACATGATAAAGGTTTGTGTAGTTGATAGAACATACATTATATAGTATACACGTTATCGATGAAATTGTTTAAGACATAAATACAAGGGTAAATAAAATGAAAGCAATATTTCGCTAGAATTGCAGCTCTTGACCCATCTGCACCAGGAACGCCTAAAGCCTTAAACTTAAATGTAGATGACTCTTTTCCTGTTCGTCAATTTTGAAACACTAATGCTACCGGTGTTTCAAGCCTATTTACAGGTATCAAAAGCTTAGCGGTCAACATAACAGGCCATAATGCCCGTGCTGACATCAATTGTCTCTGATGGAGTCTTTTAATGTAAATCAACTGTTCATAAACTGTAAAACCTATCTGAAAAAATAATGGTTTACTATCCAAAAACTTAGATAGCTTACACCACACTTGGCAGAATCTTTTTAAATGTTTTTATTATGAAATGAATGCTCTTTTACTTCGTAATTGATTTGGTGTCAAAAATATTTTGTTACGTTCAGCCGTGATGAATCGTTTGTAGAAAATAACGCGCGTCTGTCTTTTACAATTATAAGCCTGGTATATTTGACATTTGTATACACAGAGTGATTTTGAAAAAAAGAAGAATCTCCAAATTTTGTTTTATTAAACATTATTGATTTTCCAAGTTAAAGGATGATTCAGTTGTAGAAAAATATAGATTAAAGTTAAGGATATGCTGTGTATTTTGTCCATTCATTCTCACAATAGAGCAGCCTAGTTCATTTAAGGTAAATATATATAACATTCCTCCTAATTTCATTATATAAACCAAATTATTCAAATTACTATTCTACATAAAACATGTAATATGAACGCACATATGTAATATCACTAGACAACAACTTGAACTGAAGTATAAACTCACATAAAAATCTACTTCCTAATTATTGATTTATCGATATGTATTTTGTGTTTACAGAAAAATTGAATAATAAACGAGAATACTTCAAATCAACATGCAGCAGAGACGATTAAAGATCTACCATCAATGAGGGGATGACATGCATTTGGGATATGAGACATAGGGGTAAAGAAGTGGAGATGTGACAATAGAAGGTAAAAGACTGGCGAGAGACACCAAAGGAACATTCAAACACATAAGTCGACAATAAACTGAAAACGCCATGGCAAAGAGACAAAAAAAAAAAAAAAGAGAAACAACAGTTTAAAAAACAGTTGGATCTAGTTAAAAGGGAAAAACTGGTAAGTAGGAAAGCGAGATTTGGGAAATTAGCAATACCGTGTCAGCCTAAAAAAATGATAAGTTAAACCTGGTTTATAGCTAGCAAACGAGACAACTGTATAATGTTTCTTGTTCCGTTATATTGATAGACATAATAGACACAATAAGTTAATCATTGTTAATATGACAATATTTGGGATTCACCGCCCAAAACTCTAAACTTACAGGCATACATCACAACTGACTTGACATTCAAACAAACATTCAAATAATCTAACAGAGACAACAACAACAAAACATATTGTAGTTGATAGTAAATTTTACAAATACACCAATATAAAGGTTTGTGTAGTTGATAGACCATACAGTATATAGTATACACTTCCTTGATAAATACAAAAGTAAATAAAACGAAAATAGCATTGCGTTTGAATTGCAGCTCTGGACTCACCTGCACCAGGAACACCCAAAGAAAAACACCTAAATGTATATGACTATTTTTCATTTCGTTGATTCTGAAACACTAAGGCTACCGGTGTTTTAAGCCTATTTACAGGTATCAACAGCTCACCGTTCAACACGCCATCACTCCATTGCTGACATAAACTGTCACTGATGCATTCTTTAAATGTTAATTTACTGTTCATAAAATGTAAAACCTATATGAAGCACTAATAATTTATTATCCAAAGACTTTGATAACCTAGACCACACTTGGTAGAATCTTTTTTTAAATGCTCTATAATCAATGCTATTCGACTTCGTAATTGATTTGGTGTCCAAAATGTTTTGTTACGTCTACCACTGATGAGTCTTATGTTAAAAAAACCAGCGTCGGTCGTATACAATTATAATCCTGGTATATTTAACATCTGTATACACAGAGTGATTTTAAAATAAAAGAAGAATCTCCCAATTTTTTTTAATTAATCCTTATCGATTTTCCAAGTTGAAGTATGATTCAGTTGTAGACAAATATAGATTAAAGTTAAGGATATACTGTGTATTTTGTCCAATCATCCTGACATTAGAGCAACCTAGTTCATGTAAGGTAAAATATAACGTTCCATCTAAATTCATCAGATAAACCAAAATATTCAAATTACTCTACTACATAATACATGTAACATGAACGCACATTTGGAATACAATTAAATAACAACATGTACTGAAATATAAACTCACATAAAAACGCTGCCTGACCTTATTTTACAATCTTCTTCCTAAATATTGATCAATCATTATGTTTTTTTTGTTTACATGAAATTATATAATAAACGAGATAACTTCAAAAACAACGTTCAACAGAACGATTAAAGATCTACCACCAATGAGAGAATGACTCGCGTTTTGAGATATGAGAAATAGGGGATAAAAAAGGAAGATGTGACAATAGGGGGTTAAAGACATGGACCTGTCATTTTTTTTAACTTTTCAAGTTCTCTTTTTATATACTGTCAATTTATAACAGTCTTTTTAAAAGCTTGTTATTTTTAAACAAAAGAGCGAACATGCTTAAACTTAGCGAATAAAATATGTTTAAACTAAATCATGAATGATAAAACCGAAAATATTGAAATTAAAATAACGAAAATACTGCACTCCAAGGAGAATTCAAAATAGAAAGTCCCTTATCAAATTGCAAAAACAAAAACTCAAATAAAACAAACGAATCGAAACCAACTCTCATATTCCTGACTTGGTACATGCACTTCCTTATGTAAAAAATGGTGGGAGTGAAACCTGGTTCAATAGTTAGCTAAACCTCTCACTTCTATGGCAAAGAGCCATTGGTGTATCAACACTTGAATTCAAAATGAGCAATAAACAAACTGGAAGGACCCAAAAGTGTCGCCACGTAAGCACAAGGTAAGTCTTGTCTATGAGAGTTGGAGATTTTGTTTCTTAATAATTTCTAAATGCACCAGTTGAAAAACAAAAAAAAGGTATGTCATAATATCATTGACGGTACAAATTTTACTGCGCAGGTCGACAAATAATGTCTCTTCAGTAACGGCCTAGACAACAATATTTGAAAATCCATCATGTACAAACACTGGAAGATATAACAAAAAAGTCAAAAAGAACGAAAATTGAACCAAAACCTGAATAAGAAATCAGACATTTTCATTGTCATGATAAGGGAGATTCATTCCTTGATTTTAAATAAAAAAATAAAAACGACAATTTTCAATTAAGCAATATCCGTTATGAATTATGACAGTACCGAAACCAGTAGCATTTCACACGCAGGTGTATTAAGGATGTTTCAAAATAACAAGCTTTTTAATTGATAGTATAAACATATCGGAACTGAAAAAGCAGAAACAAAATGAAGGATCCGTGTCCTTGGTTTCGAGATATAAGCCATTGAAAAATTGGCGGGAAATGATTCTCTCTAGAATGTTCATATATTTAACTTTGACACCTTTTTTCTTTCAAACACTATGAAAAAAATAACAAGGATTTTATAAGATTTTCAAATATTTTTAAACTATATGTAATAAAATTACGAAAAGAAAAGTAGGGGTTAGCGGGCAAAATATTTATTAGCACTACATGGATAAAACCACAGGATTCCGAACATCTGACAAAAATTCAAAAACAAGAGGAGCGATCATCCTTAAACCTACCAAAATCAAAAAACAAAATTACGCCTAGTAACTTTGATGAGTGAAACATGCATATCAGGAGATGCTCATCATGTCGACGCATCAAGTCTCGCTCCTTTTCTGACTTGTTCCAGTTTTTTGTTATGTTGGTTTGTATATTCAAGATGAATAGATTTCCGGGTTTTGAACATCGTTATACTTAAATTGTCTCTTACTTATTCGCAACATTTTTATACTGTAGACGATTTAATGCTTAAGTTATTTTATAGAAACCGTAGAAAACTATAAATTGCATCTATTTGTGTTTTTTTTTTTATTATTTTGGTCATTGTCTTGCCGTCTATTGACGTATACTCAACATCTCTTTTATTCATAGTAAGAAAAGGTTTATTGCGATTTCTTCCTGCTCATTCTGTTTTTGTTTTGCAAGCAGTCATACATTTGTTTTTATTACGAAACAAAAATCACAGCAATCGACAAAGAGGGACGCAGATCTTTAATATCATTATGCATGTTACGTTAGAATTCTTATAAAATATCGTAGGATGATTAAACGTTTACATAAGAGTTCACGTATGTATAGATATTGTATTTTGTAATTCGATTAAATTAACTTAAAATTTTTGTTTCCTTAAATTCCGTATCCTTTAAAAATGTCTCCATGTAACTATTGTTTTCATTGGTATACCTTTCATCAACGATGAAACTTTGTTTTTCAGGCATGTCGATTTTACTTTCACGTCTTGTTTCTCCAATACTCCAATCTGTTTTCTTTCTTGCAATTAAGTAAGCTACGATTTCTATCATTAGAACAATGCATCTCAGAATGAGACTGAAACCATAGATGGCATATCGGAAGTTCACATTGTTGTACAACGCGCATGATCCCTTTACTCCACACCGAGAGCTCCATATTTTGCAACACATGTCAATAATTTCTCCAAAGATAACAGGCCCTAAGAACCAACCTAAAATATAAATTAATGTGTTACAAAGGTTCTATTTACAAAATGTGTATTTAAAATCACGATTATATTTACAAAAGAAACGTGAATAACGATAAGTACACAATAACCAACTCACAAAAATCGTAGAATATAATATAAAACAACTCCAAAAATAAGTCATTGACCATCTTTCTTTTAAGTGTTATCTAAACATCACATTTCGAAGAAATTTTAACTATAGTTATAACTCGGGTTTGAAACCGCCATGGTTTTTAACTGAAGTTAAAGACCAACGACGCGCAATACAGTTCTTATTTGCACTAAAGAATAATAATGAGGAATCCATCCTGTTTGAAGTTTGAAACAGCAAAGATTATATGGCTTTATATTGTGCGTTTGATAGTTCTAGTTGGGTAAACTATTAACTATATGTAAGACCTAATACTGTAAACCAACTTATTTTTGCGGATACTTTATTCCGCGTTTATCCCTTCGTAACCGACTTTTCGCGATTTTTAAATTATTTTGACTTATTTATATAAAGGAAGATAAAAGTTTAACAAATTCGCGAAGATTTATATTCGCGTTATTTTTCAACTAGCGAATGTTGCAAAAATAAGTTAGTTTACAGTAGTTTTAATGAATCTTACAGTTTTTTATGGATTCTGGAGTCATTGTTTTGAATGTGTTATACTCCAGCGTACCAAGAGGATCGAAGTAATCGATGTGAAATGGAAGACGATCCGTTGTAAAATTTATTTCGTTTAAAGATTGACAGACAATTTGCAGCACTGTACCTTAATTTTAGTCCAGACATTACCCTCAAAATGATCAAGCTAAGTTTATGTTTTATATTTACTACATGATCAATACATTGTACCTCAAGAATTGTTCCTTTTTCCCCAAAGTTAATACATTTTGTTATCCCGTTTTGAAAGTATTAGCAACAAGCGAAATCATATAAACTAAATACATGTTTGCTATGGGAAACATATACCGTCAGTGAGAAAAGAAACATAATGTCAATATAGTCTGAAAGTGTGATTCAGTTATTGATTAGAGATATGGAGACACAATCAGATAAACAACGGACATGACCAGTCGCATACTCCCGGGCTGGATGTTTTATCAACATTGGAAGGTAAACGAGATTTTTTTTGAACATGTTTAACAAATAAACTCATCATAGGTACCTTTATTAAAATCATGTACATCACACGCGCGATTCGTCTACAAAACGACTCATCGGTGACGCTCGAATAAAAATATATCAAATAAAGTACAAATTGAAGGGCATTGAGGACCTAAATTTCCGAAAGGTTTTTTGAAGTTCAGCTGAGGTTCTCTATTCTGAGGGTAGAAACATCCTCACTGCTGCTTACCCAATAAAGTTGAAATAAATGCGAAAAATGCTATAGCTATTCCTTTCTGATTTTCTTTGACTGATCTAAAAACAAAAAATAAAATATATTAAATCTGTTTTGATATAGTTTTATGATTACCTTCAAATAAAAAGTGTAAAACGACATATAACTTCAGTATTACATTTTCAAGGAGAAAACTGGAACCCTATCATGATGGTCAACCTTGAGATCATGCCAGAATTGTCCATTATCAAAATTAACAGGTTTTGTTTGCTACCCCTATCTGGGAATGCTTTTTAGTGTATTATGGTCAAAGTCATTTCGCCTCTACTTTCATTTTGTTTTAATTCTAGACTTTCATCTGTTCAATGAACCGATTTTTATACATTATCAAATGTCTTTTGCATTGATTAAGTCAAATTGAAAAGATATAGAATAACATCACCAACAACAATAACAACAATAATAATTAAAATAATAAAAATAATAATAAATATAATATTGATGATAACGATTATAATAAACTAACCTCAACATGAATATGAGACTTGGCATAATAACTAATGATTCGACCAAACTAAACACACAGGTAACAACAAGATATGGCACCAACATTGGACACTCAGTGGAACACAAACCTGGTTTAGCTGTCGCTGTTGGACCGATACATGTACAGTTCGTAAATCCCTTTTAAGTAGAAGTAAAACATTATGTATATTGCAACTCTGCTTATTTGCACAGTCAACCGTATACACTTTTGCGTTATACAGGTACCGATCGTGCAAACAAGTTAGAACCCAAACAAAAAAGAAAAGATTGATTTATATTTATAGAAGGAATATTCTTTCTTCTATGTGTTTGTCTTTCCGTATGTTTCTTGTTTTGCATTACATTGCATATTTACACAATTGATATCTGTATTTAAACTTTACACGTTGATCCTACTACTTTTATTACTAGTACATGTTTTATTTTATATTCTCGTATTAAGCACTAATTTTATCCAGAAAATACAGTAAGCAATCCTATATTTTTGCAACAACACAGGATAAAACAAATATTTTGCAGCAACACAGTATAAAACAAATATGCATTCTTGATATCGTTTGGGTTAGTGGGTCGTTGCGTTAATGTCTCATTGACATAAACATTATAACAAAGAATGGTTTAGGACAATACTTAAGCTTTGTCGTATGATGTTGCAAATCTTATAAACTTAAACAGTCAAATATTTTTTTTAAAATGTTTAAACAACGCCAGTTCCGGACTTTTATGGATGACACGCAAAGTGATTTTCAGTCTTACAGCAGCTGTGCTGAACTAGTTGCAGTAAAACATGAATTGTGCATCTGGGAAACAGAGAAAACACAGTTTAAGAAAATGAGTAAAGAGTTTAAGGCAGACGTCATCACAAGTTGTTATCGACACGATCTCTCCCAAGATGGACATCAAAAGGTCAATTTAAAATCTTACTCGATGAATAAGCGCCTATTGCAATTAATGTTTTCAAACTGTAAAGACTTAATTTTCCTGATGTTCTATGGCTTTTTGTTAGTTATATGTTTCGATATGTGGAGCCAATTCCTTTCAAATTGAATTTTACAGTTTGTTCTTATGTTGTTTTACCACACAACTATCGCAGGATTGGGAAGAGGTTATGCGCTCCGACATATGCTTGATTCCGCTGCATTTTCATTTGCCTGTCCCAAGCAAGGAGTTTGTTATTCATTGGTTGTCGTTTACTGTGTTAAATCTGGCTGCTGAACATTTTTTTTTTGTATTTTTCTAAACGGTCCATGTTTTGCTCATAGCTGACAGCCGCGCGATGAAATGCAGTTGTTGACGTCTTAGTCTTTGGTTTCTGATATATTAGTATAGTTGTTTCATTGAATATTTTATCACATATTCATAGACCTACAGTTATATCACAGCTGAATCTGAACGAACAGAGACATAAAAAGTGAACGCACAACTGGTGATGAGATCCTCAGACACATAACACGTGGCTAGATTATTTGCGATATCTCTAAAAGTAGTCTTTTTTATTTCGTCATAATGTGCATCTTTCTCGATTAAATATATCAAGAACATTGAAGGAAATCATTATATTTTTGGACAGCTACGCTATAGAGGTCATGATCAACCGTATATGAATGGCTTATTATAATAATCCATTTGATTTGTCCTGTTGTGAAAATTGTTTGATAAAAATTCTTGGTCTTTTTGTTACCATGGCAAACACTCTCTCTTGTTCCGTTTTGTCATGGTGTCGTATATTTTGAAATAACTTATTGGTTTTGGTAACTAACCTCATTTATACCCCCTTGTAAGTCTTATTTATCTGTGAAACATGTACCTGCAATGTGGATATACTTGAACAACCGGCATGACAAGGTGAAAAGTAGTTCTTGTTATCCGAACCGCACACAGGAAAATAGTCCTCAGAATTGCAGTTGCAATTACTTGAACAGATATCAGATGAATTGCTTGAATTTCTAAAATTGAAAAAGAGATATCAACACATGAGTATAATTGATTGTTTATTGGTTACATGTAAATTCACAGTAAAAGATTGAAGATAATTTCGTGTATTAGTAGTTTTGTATATTTGTAATAAACCTTATTGGGATTTAGTTTGATAATATTGGATTTAATGTATGATTGTATGGCATAGATGATTTATACTCGACAATTTGGCTAAGTTATATTTGTTATTCTCATTTCTAGTGTGTCCCGGGTCAAACAAGATCAATAAACAAATCTCGAGTTGTTTTTTTATGAATGAGTTACACAGGTTGAACTCTGGACAATCGGCGTAAACGACGTCATTGAACAATCGGTTATTACAGTGAAGTTATAGCATAAGCATTGTGACATAGGAATTTTGTATACGGCAAAGTGCATGTATTCGCCTATTGAGAAATCGCATAAATAATGGCAACAGTAGTATACCGCTGTTCGAAACTCATAAATCGATAGAGATAAAAACAAATCCGGGTTACAAACTAAAACTGAGGGAAACGCATCAAATATAAGAGGAGAACAACGACACAACAAAAACACAACATTAAAATGTAACACACACAGAAACGAACTATAATATAACAATGGCAATTTTCCGGACTTGGTAGAGGACATTTTAAGAAAAAAATGGTGGGTTGAACCTGGTTTTGTGGCATGCCAAACCTCCCGCTTTTATGGCAATGTTAAATATAACATTAAAATGACAACATTACATGATATGACTACAATACAAATAAATGGGAGAACATATAGGACAAAGAAACACGCGAATAATAGCTAACAAAAGGTACTAGGTTTAGAATTTAATACGCCAGACGTGCGTCTCGTCCACACAAGACTAACCAGTGACGCTCAGATGAAAAAGTTTGAAAGCCAAAACAAGTACAAAGCTATAGAGCACTGAGGACCAAAACTTCCAAAACGTTGCGCCTAACACGGCCAGGGTTTTCTGCCTGGGACAAGAACATCCTTATTATTTAGAATAATATATACTTGACGTTTATCTGTAAATATTTCTAAAGCAACTTTTTTAATCTTTACCTACATTGTATCTTAAAAGCCGGACTTATACACAAATAAGTGATGTGCAGTTTTAAGCCAATTTTTAAACACATATCCACTGCCACAGCAATTAATTCAGTTCTTTTCATATTCTTCGAGATCATTTGGATGTTTTCTTAGTTTCGTCTAAAGGCGAAGTAGTTCAAAACACTATTCTAACGAGATATTCAAACTCATTGTCTTTGAAGATGGAAATGGTTGTATCCATCCTGAATAAAACATTTAAAAGAACCTATTAAGATCAAAGAATAAAAGTGTGGGTATACATTTAAAATAAAAGCCAGCAAACCTGCCATATCCAACTATTTTTGGAGTCGGACAACCCAGAAACATTTGTATCAAGTAGTGTACAAGGGTAAATAATGACAGAATAACGATTAATCTTCCACATCCTAGCGGTGAAAGCTTCTTTTTGGACGTAAGATATCCACCAACGAAAGTTCCGACAGAAATTGCTATAATCCGAGTCACACCTGAAATGAACACCAATTTTACAGTTTGATTTGTCTAATTAAGCTAGAAAGTAGCCATGCTTAGATAATTAACGATTGTCACATTCGTCTGACCTATGCAAATTTCACTAACAATTAACTGAGAATGTGAATTATACACAAGAAAAAACAGTCTAAATCTGTTTCTCCTTGAAATCGAAATGTGTGTTTGTTGGGGGTCTTAGTCTTTTTTATCCACAATTTTACTATGTGTTAAATATACAGTATTATTATTTTTATCAACCGTACTCTTTGTTTTGAAAGGGCAAGATATAGCAGAATAGTCTTAGGAGTCGAATACAGATTCGTATAAGCATTCCGTTGATCAAAGCCAAGAACGTGTATGATAATGTTATATGTAGGAGCTCGTTCAAAATGCTTCAAATTACCTATTGAGGGTAATGAGTTTGTAATTGTAGAAATCGTCTTCCATTTGAACTCATCTTACCGATTGGGTGCATTTTGTTGTCTGGTTGAGATGTTTTTGTGTGGTCTAATATTAATGCTTTAGAAGTTTTGAGATAATTTGTCTGCAAACGTTAGCAATAGTACTATAGTGAAGTTGAAGAAGATTAAATTGTTGATAAGGAAATTGTTCATTTGTAATCTATCAGTTTGAATAATAAATATACCTATAACTAAATTAGACTTCCAAGCTGGCAAAGTGAATTGAGTTTCAATGTATTTTGGTCCAAATGCAACACTCCCGCTTACTAGAATAAGGATCATACACCGACTCACAATGATCAGTACGTACAGTTTGTTACGAAGCAGTCCGTATAGATCTTTAAAAAAATCTTAAAAAAAGATGTGTCAGTGCATTATATATGCTGTGTTATAATATTTCGTATTTATGACAATACATTGTGTAGCTCTGATTTACAATTTCAGAGAGAATGTAGAACATAGTTGAAAACTAAAAATGACCTAACAGTGGTCGTGCGAAAGTCGTACGGTTACATATTATTTAAATCAACGTCATTAAAACTTCGGTGGGTACTTGGCTCATTGACAGTCATGTCACATCTCCTTATTTTATAGAAACAAATTGAAAATTGAAAAAAGTATACGCTCATGAGCTATCTTGTTTTGTAATAGTTCGTATATATGCAAATAGCTACAATTCAAAAGAAAATATAAAACCCAATTAACTCGTGTTTCAGAGATTTGAACACAACATGTACTTGTTGTATTTCAGTAGTTTAAGTTCAACTGAATACTGTGTCAAAAGCTTTGACCGAACATTTTGCGAAAATACAAATTTTGAAATTATTTTCTTTCAACACTTCTGTCGGTTGACGACATCAATTAAATGTATTGTTAGATATGTCGTTGTTTAACATCGGTATTATCATCTTTGGAATTTATTGTTTTTTTTTTTATCTTCGACAAGATTTTATCGAATTAATAACATATTTAGTACGGATGATTATGTCGTTTATTAAGGCAAATGTTTGTGTTTTATGGAACAATTTTATTTGTTCAATTCAGAAACAAATTTTCTTTCAGGTTGGAATTACAGTTCATCATTGTACCTTTCGTGCCTTCTATTACTCTGGTTTTTCTTTTCTTTTTCACTTCTTTCTTGTCCACCTTGGTAGGTTTCACATGAAATCGTTTTGGAAAAAACATAAGCGGAAGTCCAGTTAATATACTTCCTAATCCGAATGTTAAAAATCCAATCCACCAGGCGCCAATCCATCTTGGATCTCGTGGCGAAATATTAACATCTGCAATTATGTACGAAAACCCATTGTTCTCCAAAATACTATATTCTCATTGTTTTTAATACTTAGTTAAAGATGGCAATTTGATCGTTTACTTTTTAAAAAACCAAAACGTTAGGGTTGAGCGTTCCTGACTAAGATAAATCAAAATTTTGGGGCGGGAACGAAAAATATGTTTAACCGTCATGTTTAAGAATACGTCAATATTTGAACACACTAGAATACTTAGTTCACAAGTTTAATATTCCTTAATATAAAAATAATGAGATGTGGTATGTTTGCCAATGAGACAACTATCCACCAAAGTTCAAATAAAGTGGATGTAAGCAATTATAGGTAACCGTACGGCCTTCAACAATGAGAAAAAGCCATACCATATAGTCGGCTTTGAAAGGCCCAGACATGAAAAATATGAAACAATTCAATTGAGAAAAATAACGGCCTAATTTATAAAAAAAATAATTTACGAAAAACAAATATGACAGACATGAACCAACGACAATTACTGAACTACAGTCTCCTGACTTGGGACATGTTCATAAAGAATGTGGCGTGGTTAAACATGTTTGTGAGCGCTCAACCCTCCCCTAACCTGAGACAGTGGTGTAACAGCACAACATAAGAACAAACTATAAACATTAACCACATTTTCAGCATTAAACAACTAAATTTGTAGAAAGAACGGTGTAAAGGAATACTTTAATTTACTGAAATGACAGGTAACATCTCATTGATTTACGTAAAATTGCTTAAGAAACATCATTTAACTGTGTCCTGCATTATCAAGGTATCAATTATCACTTGTTTATGAGGGTTTGGCGGCAGAAGGGGGAAAGGGGGGGGGCGGGGAGTAGGGTCTTCATTTTATTTTTAATCTTAACTTTTTAGGCAATTTTCCCTTATCTTTTTTTATTTTGCCCATTATTCTCTATTCTTGATACTTTAGCACCCCATTATTATGTCCCTTTTTTAAAATTTTTTGGCCTATTTTCTCTATCCTTTTTTTTATCCATTATTCTCTATTTTGTAAAACCCATCCAGACCCTGGTTCATGCACAGATGATAAGGAAAAAGTTCGATACATAAACTTATATCAAACTTAAACGGTTGTGTTATTTAAATTTGCTGGAACACAATTTAAAAAAAAAATTAAATTAAGAAACATATCTCCCTCATTCAAAGATGTGATTCCTTGCCTGGCTTTCGTTATACTATTTGTCCTTTGAGGTTTATTGACTCTTCATTTTTTTAAATAAGATTTGATTTTCAATTATTATGGCATCGATCAGCATCAATGAATATACCTTTATTGTCGAAATGCGCATCTGGTGCAGTAACATGGGTTTTGTTAATATTATTAGATATAGCTTGGGTTTCTTCACGTAAGAAATGTCAAGTTGGTATGACAACGAAAGTTTACAAATACATTTATATAAAATCAAACATATTCTGTAATGTGATACGCGATCTTTACAATAGAATTTTAATTCAATGCAAGATTCCCCAATATTTTCCACAAACAAAGACAAAAACCTTTTGTCGTTACAACTTGTATCCTCATATCTTACCTGGCTCGTACTTCGATGAAGCTTGTGTAATTGTTTGTATGCCTACTTGTAAAAAAAACTAACCTTCTAAAGTTACATAAATTTTGCTGAACAGACCACCGAGTCCAAACCCCAGTGCAGGTCCGAATATAGCTACTGCCATAACACTACCTGTTAAAATAAATTGTGTTCACCAGATTCCTAAATAGAAACATTTACACTATACATATACAAAATTATATTGTAAGTCGATTCCGCTAACCTGTCTTTTCGAATATGACAGTTGTTTGCCATTCGTCTGATGTGTTTGAGCTTTTGATTTTGCCATTTGAGAAGGGACTTTCTAGTTTTTAATTTTCCTTAGAGTTCGGTATTTTTTATTATTTTACTTTTTTCTGCATTTAATCGATACACTTTTTTTTCATCGGACTAAAGTACAAATATTGTATTCCTTCAAATGAATATATTTCGTTCATTTCGAGTGTTGTATCATTCTAACACAGACCTGACATGGAATTGAATTTACACGACAGATACGACTATGTGAGTCTTGCAAACTGTTTAACTGTTTAATTTTTTACTCAAAGTACATATACCAAGTTAGGCATTTAACGGACGATTTTGTTTTTCTTTGTTGACATTTTTGTTTATTTTTATAGTGATTAAGATAATAACACAATGTTGACAGCTGTACCCCTATTTTTGAAATATTAACCTATTATGTCTGTTTGTTTTGTTTTGTTCACACATTGTTGTCAATATAATGGAATTTGATGCGACAGTCCTCAGATTTCAAATGTTTGGCTTTGAGCGTTCCTGATGAAGGTTAATCCAGAAAAGCGCTTCGGACGCATGAAATTATTAAACGTGTTGTTTTCAATTTTTTACCTCACTGGGTCGATACCTCTGCTGGTGGACTATCAGTCCCCGAGGGTATTATCAGCTCAGTAGTTAGTACTTCGGTACTGACATGATTTAACAAACTTTTCTAAAATTGTCCGTTTTTAAATTTTTAAATTATTAAGAAACTAAGGTTTCAACTCCCTCAGGCAAAGTTGACTTTAGACATGTTAAATGAATTTGGATATTTATTTTAGGTAGTTTTGTCATATAGCTCTTCAACGGTTTCGGTACTTATACATCCTCGGATTTCAAATGTTTGGCTTTGAGCGTTCCTGATGAAGGTAAATCCAGAAAAGCGCTTCGGACGCATGAAATTATTAAACGTGTTGTTTTCAATATTATTTTATTTCATACAAGTGAGAGGTTTAGCTAGCTATAAAACCAGGTTTAATCCACCATTTTCTACATAGGGAAATGCCTGTACCTAGTCAGGAATATGAAAGTTGCTTTCCATTAGTTTAATGTGTTTGAGCTTTTGATTTTACCATTTGATAAGGGATTTTTCGTTTTGAATTTTCCTTGGAGTTCGGTATTTTTTGTTATTGTACTTTTTTTCGTTTATGTAAAGAGTCATACGATAAAAAGTTTGAGAATGTCAGTTTTCGTTTAGTGATATTATTGAACTATTTTATATCTTTCTTTGAGTCATTCTGTTTTTCGTGTTTAAAAGGTAAAAAAAATCTCTCCAAAAGTCTCTCAGTTCTTTGAAAAATATAACCGATAACTTGGTTTTATGATACTATAACAATGCTCTTTTTATGCTTGATTCATTTAGCATATATTTGATATAATCTTGGAGAATATGATTTATCTTTTAGTTTTTATTG